GGCTCCGGGCGGCGCCGCGCCCCGGCTTGCCGCGCCCCGCCTGTGTGCGCCCCCTCCCCAGCGCCCCCGCAACCTCCGCAGGCGATGCCGTCCCCGGGAGCCGGCCGGGAGGCGAGGAGGCAGTGGAACGCCTGCCGGGCCCTGCTGCGCTGCGGCGGCCCGACGGGAAATCGCCGCTGTGCCCGAGCTTACCTGCTCATTCCTCTGCGGGGCCAGCACGAAATTCAGTGCGCATCCTTGCTTGCAGCCTTCCGCGTCCTTCTCTGGTCTGCCCTCACTTGGCAGGCGCCGCTTCACCCGGCCTCAGATATTTTTCCATCTCTGTAACTGCCTAGAAGCGTTAATGTTTCGTCGGAGCACACTCGTTTTCCCACGCGTGTACGTATGCACATCTAGTTCAGACGATAGCTTGCCGCAGAACACCTACCGCTGCTGCTGTTTCCCAACAGACTGGGAGAGAGAAGAAAAACAGGAGACTCATCACATGACCCGAACCTTGGGGAGGTCCAAAGTAAAATTTTCTCTTGGTCTAGATTCCCACTCGACCTCAGTTGGGTGGTTTTGCTTTCAACCTCCGAGCTGCGGAAAGGGAACTTGAAATTTTGCAAGAACAAAACTGCTGTCAGAAAGTTGCTGTTTTGCTGCCGTTAAAGAAGCCTACCCGTCTGAATGCTGGTTTAATCTGAGATGAGGAAAGGAAAATTAAATGTCATACTGCATAACAGGTTGTTTTCAGGACGGTGTAATTTTAGATACAGTAGAAGTCACTGAAGTCAAAGCACTTTTCTTTAGCTGAATATCTTGGTCTTATTTCTCAGAATTTGTTATTCCCCAAGTGTAACATTAACTAAGCACCTTGGCAATAATTATTAGTCTGGTCACTTTGCTGAGATCACAGCTTTGATCCCAAGCACTTGTTGACTGAGAAGTACCTCCTAACAAAAGCAGATTCTTTCTTTGCCTTACATATGTGATCAAATGCTGACCTAAATGTAGAGTCTTTGCTGAAGGGTGTGACGAGCAGATTAGAAGAGATCTTTCCCTCTAGACTTGCAAGAGCAAAAGCCTGATGAGACTGTACTCCATGTAATTGCAAAATAGTATCAGTATGTGCACGGCCTCAAGGTCACACTGAGTGAATCACTTAGGTGGTCTGTCAAGATGCCATGCTCTAAGTACTCTCACGAATGTTTTTCAGTGAGGGGTGCTGTGAGAAAGTCAGTAGTGTTCATTGTCATCTTGTAAATAGGGTACCTTTGGGATAAGCAGGTCATCTAAATATCTTCCTGTACAACTCAGGGATGTACATTTAAAGATAAAATAATTCTGAATTTCACAAAGATAGAATCTGACCCTTTTTTAAAGCCTCTACTATAAATTAGAGACAGTTTTCTGGAAGATTCCTAAACCAAGCCATATTGTCAAGTATGTTACTAAATGCAGGGAAGAACAGAGCAAAGTATGTGTAGAAACAGCATGAGATTAGTTTCCTGCAAATTCTGAAGCAGATGGTTGAAATGAACTCAAATTATTACCAGTTGTTGGCAGTGTAACCTGCACGTACACAGTATCCTCTAGTCTTTGGTAGGAAAAAACCCCAACACACAGTGCACTATTATATCTTTTCGAATATTCCTCTCTGCCATTCACAGAAAAAAAAAAACCCAAACCAAACCAAACAATCCTATGCTTTTAAAGTATTCTAAACAGAAAAAGAAAACAGCTTTAGGAATTTAGTAAACAGTGGTCACACAGAGGAGGAATACAGCTTTGAATAGTAATTGGTTAGAAAAGAATACAGAGAAGAAAAAGCAAATCTCTAATAAAAGTAAATCTAGGACAGAAGAGTGCATATGCATCCTTTCATATGCAGAGTCCTAGGGGACACCTCTCTTAGAGTGCCAAGTATCCAACAAGGCTTAAAGGAGAAGGAAACTTGGGAAATTCAAGGCAAAATGTCAGAGTGGCAATGGGGTAAAGAGGAATATGCATGTGCACTGAGGTGAAACGCTTTCTGGAAAGCAGCTAAGAACAGGCAAAACATGAAATCCAGGGACAGTGGGAGGCACCAGTGTAAGATATAATTAAGTGTGGACAAGTGCTGTCACCATCCATATTAAGGTATGACTGTCTTTTGAGTAAGGCCAGCATTATCAAGACTTTGAATTACTTTTGGATAAGATGGAAAGTGGAAACACCTCACTACTCATTAAAGAATATATGGCATGCCTTATAAGGGCTGTTTATCCCAGTGTCTGAATCTAATAAATTACATTTTGACTATGATCGTAATATTCACCTTATTGTTTCAAATGAATGTTTCTCCACTCTGCCTTGACCAGGGCTGTATGGTGACAAACGAGAAAACACCTGCCACGCCTCACTCCAGAACATTAGGTAATGCAATGCCTGCACGAAACATCATAGATTTATGCACAATATAGCAGGTCTATTAGAGGTACTAAATTCTGACTTCAGTAATTGAACACGCTGACTGACATCTGTGTTTTGTGATCTGCTTTTAAATATCCTTTTGCACTTAATCAGTGTGAGTTGATTTGATTGTAAAAAGTGTAAAATTTACTGAAGAGCTCAGAAAGATACTGTTACCTCTTGCACAGATTATTTCTCAGCCTATCTAAAATAAAGCTCTGGAGGGTAACACGAGACTCAACAGTTTTCAGTGGTCCTGTTTCCCCTAAATCGTAAGTAGCAGCACTCAGGGTTTGTTATGAAACAGAAGCCTTTGGCCTCAAATTAGCATCGTGCAACATTTGGAACATCAACTGTTGTACACAAAGAAACTTCTGTTTGGGAACACACTAAGTTTTTGCAAGCCAAGGAGTTTCCTTGTTGCACAAAACCTGTAACAGTGTCATGAATAACCAACAATTTTCAACATGCAAGAGATAGGAATCTGCCGTGCCCCTGAATGCATAACCAAGGCATCATCATCCACAAACAGAATAAATATGACTGATAATTCAGTCTGTAGCTTTTGGTCTTGACTAAACATGCAAAAAGTGCTTTAGTACTGTATACAAACTAGATTCTCCACATCTTCTTCTTCTATGTAGAATCATCCCCACCTTGATCTTCCATTAATTCTTTCCATTGTGTGAAAGGGAAAACAAACCTGCTCCTAAGCCATAATCCTTTCCTGTTTATTCCTCTCTGTAATGGAGAAGTCAAGTAACCAAATGAGGACATAGAGTCTGAGGTCCTTTTCATTCTTGTTTCCTAGGACCTGCTGAAAATCTACTGGTGTCTCTGTTGCCTGTAGATAAATGCTTTGCCATCTTGCTGATGCTCAGTTCCTACTTCATAGCATAACAAGTGTGCCTCTTAGAAGAAACTCCATGTCAGAAAATCAGGGTGCCCTCTCATTTTTCAGGAGAGAGAAAGCCAGGTAAAAGCAGAATCTCTTACAGGGAATTCTGTGGGTTTAGTTCAGACACTGGGAATGTCTAGTCTCACTGTTATTTTAAGTATTTTTCTTGATGATTTTATTTCAGCCCTGATTTCCATGGGAAATGTTTTTAAAGATTTCTTCCCTCACATTTCAGTTCACACAGAACTGAACTTTTGTTTAAAATGTATTTTGGATCTACAAAACTTAAGATTATGTCTTGACATAGGTGTCAGACACATTATATAAGAAAAGAGCTGTTCTTAAACCTTCTTCTTCTGCCAAAGCATGTAATAACAGTTCTCTCTCTCTCTCTCTTTTTTTTTTTTTTTTTTTTTTTTTTTTTGATGTTTCTTCTAACAGCCCTGCACTGTCTAGTCACATTTGTCACAGTTATCAGTTTTCTTCCTGTAGCATCTGCTCATGAATTGGTGAATCGTTTGGTCTATTCACCATATGATCCAAAGCAAAAAGGTGGTTTGTTCCCAAAGAGTTTGCAGTTTAAGTATGAAAGACAGGCAAGGAACAGAGTGATCAGCAAGCTAGATTTCAGTCCTTGTGCAGCTGAAGTCTATCTGCTGCCTTGAGATTTTTTGTCACTAGTTTGTACATCTTGCATTAACTACTAAAATAAGTTCAATTTATGACCTCAGGTAGTCTTTAAAATAGTGATACTTTGATGTCTAATTTGGATATTTTTCCTGGTTGTGCTACAGAGGATTTTTCTGACCTCAGACAAGTCACCATCCTTTCATGTCTCATTTTTTTCCAACTGTAACTGGGTAACAAATATATTTACCTACCTCAGGCCTGACACCAGGCTGAGGGATTTAATATTATTGAGTTTCCACGTGCTTCCTTGCTCAAATAAAGTGTAGTAATGAAGTGAGCAAGACCTGTTAAACCTCTTCTCATACATCACTTATGAAGAGGTACAAAAATTATTGCAGCCATCAGCTCTTTTTCTTATATTCTTCCAGACTGCTAAATTCACAACATAGCTCTCACCCAGATCAGCAGTTACATGTATTGTAAACACAACTATCTCTTCCCTCTGCAGAGGAAAGCAACTGTACCATTTCAGGCTCAGGAAACCAGCAATGCCTTAGTTTTCTTTTACTCTACTGCTACCACTGGCTCTTACATCTCTTTCAGCCTAGGTGCTTATTATTCCTTCTGTGAGACAGATGTATGGGGCATAAGCAAAACTTAATAAACTGAGGAAGATTTTCTCCAATAGAAGATATAGATTTCCATATTACAAGGGAACAGATGCAAGAGTTTCACTCTTATTTTTGTCTCTAAGGACAATATAGCTACCTACTGAAAGGGAGTGTGAAGCATACAGATGGAAGAAGTACCACTTCCTCCCTCCCACTGAAGAGGACTGACCTCAGTTAGTCTTTTTCTCTGCCTGCTGCTCTGACATCCTTCTTCTGCCAGCAGCAGAATCATACAGTACCAACAGTAAACTGCAGCTAGTAGGGGACAGTAACATGACAACAGCATAAATGTTCAACCATCAGCAAATGTAAAAACAAAGCCAAGTTGTCGTGGGCTGTGAACCAACAATATCGCATGATCAGTATACCCAGTGCATGCCACACAAGCCTTATGAGAACCCTATAGAAGAGGAGCAGACAAGAGTGACACAATTTGACAGCTACCACTGGAAAACTGACTCCCTAAATAATCATCAGACAGGTAAAGAGCTGGCAAGAACACCCTTCACAGAGTGGAGGATCTGAATAATCATTTCTGGGTGCAGTAATGGCATCCCACCTGACACATTCTCTCTGTCCTTTTTATTTCTGTTCCCCCACCCTGCCCTTCTAGTAATATTGTCTGTATGCTTCCATTCAATGTGGGTAGCAGTGATGGCAGTGCTGTTCCTCTTCCTAAATCCAGCAGGCAGACCTGCCAAGACCCTCATAGCTGTCAGAGGGAATAAGAAAACTCAGCAGCAACATTAGTGCCTAGTTCGTCACCTTTATGTCAAGCCTGTCAATTTTCTGATACCACGGCAGAAGTGAAACAAATAGGTGTTTGCTGTAATGATGGTAGGGAGTCCACAGTTCTTAAAGACAGTTGTGGGATCTTTTATATACAGTCAGATCTTTACCATACCCACCTTTTGAGAAAAGGCCACATTTTTTTTTTCCTGAACTCTTAAGTTATTCCCCCCAGCACTTCTGGTAGGTGCAACACTACTTTATTGTTTCTGTGGCAGTGCCAGTCCCTGAGAACAGTGTTTCCAAAGCTACTTAATCACAGTGTCCCAAGCTGTGATCTAAACGTCCTCCAAGGCCAGATGATCTGGACATGAGTAGTAGGCATTTACCTATGCTGAAACAAAATATTTGCAACATTGGGTTGCTACAGCAATCTTCTCTTCTGTGCATACATAAATAAATAAGAGCTCAGGAGTCATAAAAACATTTCCCAGGCAGTTTCTGGAAAAAGGAAGATTGCACTGGAAAATTCTGAGGAAAGTATCTTTTCAGTCTTAGTATTTGGCTGATATTAAGACCAAACATCTTACCTTTATATTGCATGAACAGCTGACTCCAAAAGAAATACCATGAAAT